ATAAAAGCTCGCTCATGAAAAATAATGACACCAGCAGGTAGAGGAATGTTTCCTCTACCAGTTAGCATTGTAATTTTGGAGAGGTAAGATTTAATTTGCGAAAAAATTTACGGCTAAAGTCATTGTTTACACAAGCAATTACGCCCCTTTGAAATGTTGGCACTGAATTATCAAAATATTACTTGCAATGGATAGATATCGAGTAAATTAGAAGCTTAAGTGTATTTTTCAACCGATTCGTGCATGAATATGGCACTAAATCTGATTTTGAAAGTTGATGCACAGGTAAAAAGTGAAGTTACGGGACGCCACTGCTCATAGCCATATCAAGCGATATATTAAATCTACTCAGCAAAATATGACCAATGACACTCAAAACAACAACCATGAAACCATATGGTTACCGTAGAACCAGTTCCATATTCTAGATGATGGTTCCACATAGTCAAACTATCTCTCATAGCCACTTTAGAAGCTGCTCTGGATATTCCGGATTGTTGTTCCATATGGTCGAAATGTCATGGTTAAGACAGGTGAACTATCAAATCACATCTTCATGAGATATGAACAATGACATTCAAAACATTATCCATCGTCAGTGTTCACTCGGCTGTCGACAGAAGCAGACCACTCTCAATGTGTGTCACGCGATCGTCTGTTTACTCGACAGCAACCATTGTGTGGTTCTCCTCATTGTTCTTCATCAGCAGTTCTTTCAGTCGATGCGTCGTCGACTTTAGAAAGCAACCGTTTCGTGATGAATGTGTGAGTACTGATCACGTTTTGCGTCCATTACTGCAATGGAAGCGCTCTGACCCTCGTTGGCGAATCTGCTATAGAATGAAACCACTGGAAGCGGCTCCCGTTCTGATGGAGGAGGCCTATTGGACAGCGGGAGATAAAATGTTTATTGTGTTGTACCTTTTGACTATAGTTTTAAGATGTATTTTATAGTGAACAAGAATCCTCGGCTCTGTAAAGTTAATTCGGTTGAGCCTTATCAAATAAATTAATAATAACAAGAAAAAAAATATGACCATCGTAAAACTAGTTCGGATACTTTTGTTTGATGGCAGCGGAAACATGATTAGAGCTAATTGACACCTTACAATAGGTTTCTGATGATCCAGGAATTACGACACATCATCAAATCATATCTACTGGGCGAAATATTTATCGCCACTTGTTTTTGGCTGTGTTACGTTCCCTCTGGTACTTTACGCCGGTTTTCAACTTCAACGAAAAATTCATAAACAGGACTGGAAATCGAACCCAGCAAGCTTCAGCATGGCTTTGCTTTATAGCTGTGGCTTAACCGAGTGAGCTAAGTCAATGACATTCAAATAAACGGCTTCAGGTGTTCCACAAAAAAAAAAACCTTTGGATACTGGCAAATCCGTTGTCTATTATTTTTTGGTTCTAAGATTCCAAATATTTCCACTTCCGGTACAGCTTCCTGGCTCGGGTTTTGTTTGTCGTTTCGCTTCGGTGCCTTCCGGACCTTGTAGACGTGGATGCCGGCACGTTTCATCGTTTTTTGGACAAACCAGATCGACGCTTGAACAGACTCAATACTTTCCTGACCTTCACCGGGTCAGCTGTCTTCGGTTTTCTGCCGCAGCCTACCCGCCACTGGGTCGTCTGGGTCTCCTTGAATGACTACTCTAATAAAAAAAATACCAAACCCGAACGATAACCCAAATGATTGAACTATTTCACAAATGGTTTGGATGATACCCTGAACAAGTTGTTAAGCAAAATAACCATACAAATTTTATTAGGCTTAACCACCCGGGAAATTATAGAATGATGGACGCAGTCGGATTTTCCACGACGGCGCACAAGATTTTTTGGCGGATGTGGCTCTTGCTCCGATGCCATCTCGATAGCCCCTTAAAATTCTGCCAGCTTAAACATCACACTCTTAGCTAGTTTCAATCAAAATTTCACCAATGTTTTCCCACACGCTTAAAAGTTACAAACTAATCAATGTGTCTCACTTTTTTCGAGTACAGTCTTTACATTTGATTCAAATATGTCTGATCAAAATGGTCAATATCTATTATCTAAAGATTTTAAAGTAAATTGATTAAGTTATTCGAGAATTCAACTTCTAGATCTAAAACAGTTTATTAAGTTTTTTCTGGGTCGATTCGATTTTTTTTTTTTTCAATGTTTATGAATATTGAAAATTTGTGCCCGGATATTTTTTCTATGCCCGGATATTTTTTCAATTCCGAGATCTCGATTTTTCAAAAAACCTAGGATATCAAAAGTTACACCATAAATGTTTTAGTTTAGAATGTTGAATACGTTTTATAATCTAGAAACTCTGGGAGCAGTGTCTTTCTTCGAAGTCCAGGATTATACAAAACATTGAAAATTCAGGATATTGAACATTCCTTTTCATTTAGGATATTGAATTTTTTACTGGTTAAATTTTTTTTAAATAGCTTGAAGTTCGATTGCTGTGATTACAATCTTTTTAATAAAGACTGTACTCGAAAAAAAAATGCAACTGACAAAAATGTTCACCAAAAATTCATTTTAAGTCGAATATTTTTGAAACTCTCAAGTAAGTTGTTTTTCGATTCAGATCGTGAATTGTTGAAAAACGAAAAAGTCTCGGATTCAGACAAATTTTGACAGTTTAAGGACAAACAGTTTTGAAGATTTCAGATGCAGAAACATCTTTAAAAACTCAAACATTAAAAAATTTTAATAGCTATGGGACCTAGGCAGCCTTTCTAGATCGCAATATAAGAAAAATCTAATTCTTCTGGAACGCGGAATATTTTTCGAGATGATAAGATCAAGGACATAAACAATTTTGCATGCATCTAGGCCGTAAAATCTCGATCTTGAAATTTTGCTAGTAAAATTCTGGGATGTATTCTGGTAATAGTGGACCATTCTTTATTGAATGCAAGGCCTTAAACATTCAAGATCTGTAAGACAATCAAATTAAGAAAATTGTGCGACCTGGAATAATTTTCGATCTTTTGAACACACGGTCCTAGAAAAATTCAAATGCTTCTGAAAGATAGAACACGTTTCATGATCAATCTAAACCTAGAGGGCACAAGGCCGGTCGCTACTGGGCCGAGTGGGTTAATGAACTGAATGTTATAAAGTGACAGATTTAACTTAAAAATTATTATATAATACAATGACACAACTAACCTGAAGAACATTTGAGTACACCGACTAAGAAATTTTACGAAGATTATTTGAGAAAATTTTCCAGATTTTAAGTTAAGCCAGTTTATGACATTCTTTAACTTTTCAAAATAACAAACGTGGCGTAATTTTTGAGACCTCAGATTTAAAAGTAAAATCATGACTCTCAAACTTGGACAAAATTTGAGGATTCTGACACTTTGAAGAGTTATCTAGAAAATTTGAATCAGATTGCCAAATGAGTTTCGAGGATTCCAATTTTTCATAAGTAGAGGTTCGACGTTATTTTTAAAAGTATTTCAGTAAAATTTAAAGTAGAACCAACAATAAACTCTAAGCAGTTCTGAAGAGACTATTATGGGGATTATGAGAAGAATCCCAAGGATTTCCACAACAAACCTCAAAGAATTTCAGGGAACATTTTAAGGAATTCAGAAAAGAATTTAAGTGAACTGTACGGTAAACTTAATGATGATATGGCTACAATTCTGCCACTACCCCTAATGATTAACTACGGCTGAAAATCACTTCAATGTCAATCAATGTCAAAGAAATTTGTGAGGAAAGGTTTTCATTTTCATTTTGCAGCGTTTGGTGGGCAATGGGAGTGCAAGTCAATCCAAAGCCGAGGATAAAGGACGGGTAATGGCTGAATAGTGTATGCGGACCACTTGAACGCCATGGGAAAAGGAAGGGATTGAAGAGGCCGGTTATTGGGGGGTTTTGAGGAAATGACACATAGTGATGCTAAATGTAAAGAAACCGAAAATCCATCTCCCACTGATTCATTCTTTCACATACATACCAAATTGATATTTTAAAGCAATAATCAAAATAAACAGACAATACATGAAAAGACTAGTTGCCAGTTGCTTTAAAGGCTAGTTGCCTCCCTAAGCGGACCCTCCGCATTCTAACTCTTCTGTTAATCCACTTAATGCTACTAGGCTGTCTAAATTTTCTTATTTAAGTTCGTTTGATGATTATGATATCTCTAGTCTAATTTAATAAATAATTGAAATCTCTAATCTACCTACCATGCTTTATTAAGTACCTGCACTTGTGACGTGTTTCAAGTTGTTTTTGACTTTGACCTATATTTAATATATATTAGTTCGGCCCAAGTGACATCTTCAAGTGACTAAAATGCTTCACTTTGAAATTAGTTTCCTAGCTGATTTTTAAATTACATAGGATATATGCTTCAACTACGCTCACACGTTTCCACTATGTCGCACCACAAAAATACGTATGGTTATGTCACAATAGAAGCAAATGAATGGAACTTGTTGAAAGATTGCGTAATTTTAATGAATCTTGAAAAAAAAAATTACTTCACTAATAGCGACATTACGGTAGTAGCCTTATATTCAACAAAAAGGCTATTTATGTCTACGATTATATTGGTTCTTTTTTTGCTGACCATCTTACCCCATAAGTAGAAAATTGTGCCTGAAAAATTGAAATTTTCTTTTAAAATTATAATCGAACTTAAACAAGTGTGTATGATTGTTCTTCAATCATAGGATTATAGATCAATCCTTGAAGCTTCCGTAGGATTATAAAAATAATTATTGTCATCTTGGGGCCATCTTGCCCCCAAATTCAATTTATTCATGCGGCCTTATATATGTGTATCATATTGCCATTTAAAAGACAAGGCTTTTTAAAAGATGCGATCTTCGCCTCATGAACGAAATCTCAAAGTCTCATGACCATCCTACAGGATGGTCCCCCGTCTGCCAGTCCTCCAAGGCAACAATAATCATTTTCTGGTATTTCTGGTCGATCCTATCAGTAATATGGGTTTGGGTACCTACCGCCAAGTAGGTTCGCTTGTTTGCAGTCATATAGATAAAAAGAGCCACCACCAAAGGCTGCCTGCTGTTGCTCTTGCTTGGCTCTCCTCCAAGTTACGACGACGACGTACAACACACAGATTTCTGGAATCACTTTCACAGCTTCACACACACACACAGGTACTTTCCTCTATCTGCTCACTTTCCTCTCATTTTTTTTTGCTTCTTCTTATTATACTCTACTTGTGCAATTTTGACATGTAGCCTATTTTTCCTATATGAAATTATTGGATCCAAAGTGGAGTAGCCATTCAAAAAGTAACCGGAAACCAACAGAAAAAAAACAATATGCACCTTGGCACAACGTTGACCGTGTCCCTGTGCGCCGGTTTACGGTCAATTCCGCGACGATGGCAGAAAAATTCCAGCCATCTTCACTCGGAGCTGCTGCCTGTCGTTGTTTCTACACAGTATATTCTTGCTGCTTCTCCTCCTCTTCTATCCAGGCATATTTACACACTCCACCAGCAGCAGCACCAGGCCTCCGCACAAAACGAGAATGTGTGGATGTCAAAATGTCGACGGCGAAAATCACGACCGCCTTCGGTGCTGTTAGCCCACGTAAAATCGCACGGGTCCACAGCACTGCACAATGTCGGATTCCTTCACCGGAAGTAAGCACAAAATTCCGTCACAGAAACACTCTTTGCACTACTGCTGGGGAAAAAAAAAACTAACCTCCGGCACGGCGACGACGACCGAACGGAACGACACTCTGTTACTGCCTCTTTTCCGAGGGAATCAATTCCACTGCCAGCCGAGGCTCGCTCGATTTAATATTCAACTCAACAACGACGACGACGATGATGATGGAGATTGGATTGTGTGATCACTCCCGAGAGTGTGGCTCACAGAAAATTTCGCAGAAATCCAGCTCCGATCCGTGATGGAGTTCCGATTTTTTCAAGCACAATTCCGTGTCCCGATTTTCCACTTGTAAACTTCTATCAACACTTCACTCACTTGACCTACCCTGGCGGGCCACCGCAGTCTAATCCAAAATAACAATTCGCATAAAATGTTCTTCAGGAAGTCCTTTTCTTTTCTCACTTTGGTATGGTGGATTTTTTTGACGCAACTACACTAAAAACTGCTTCTCCGTTTGCAGCGGGCTGTGTGTTGGCTTTGGCTGACGACGACGACGAATGACACGACGACGGACGGCGACGTCGCGAGACCAAGACCAAGACCATCATCGGAGGAATCTCATCGTCTCCGTAAATATCTCGCCTCCCGTACTGGTAGTAAGGTAAATACAATGCGAGCAAAACGGCTCACTCATGTCGTCCGAAAGAAAATCCATTGATTATTCTCACTTCTCTGTGCAGGTTTTTGCCACATCTCAGCCTCGATCATCCTCACCAATACTTCTTGCGAGATGGAACATAGCTCTGTTTTCCATGGAGCAGATTTATGCTGTTCGACTGTGTTGGTGCAATGGGACGGGTAAAATATGCATACTGCCTACTAGTGTGTGCGGTGAGGGAGTAACAAGTCGGCTCGGCACTTTCCTGATGGCTTGGCCGCGTACGCGACGACAGCCGAAGATCGTTTGTGATCCCGAGGAAAAACTTTTTATTATAACTTTGGCCTATCTGACTCTCTGGCAAGCATTTTCAAGATTTAACATACTGCTTGCACCAACATTTTTGGCTCTACCTTTCCCCGAACATCTGCTAGCTGCATGTGCATATCAGGTATCGGCCAACTACGGGGAAAGCTCGCTACTCTCAATGCATGGTTCATATACCTTGGTAATTTGTAATTTATTGATAGCATAACGAAAACCTGTCAGTTACAGAACCATAAATCAGGTCAAGGAAGTAACCATTTTGAATCAGTTTAGTGGGGAGTTAAGACTGAAATTAAAGTCTAAGTCTAAACATTTGACATTTCTTAAATCGACAGCTACTATTGGTATTAGCCTAGAGAATTAATCAGCTCTGTGGAGCGCCGCTTTAAGCGACGTGAGAGTCCGTTGCTGCCTCGTAGGCAAGTTGTAGCTAGTGGTAGCAACAGTGGTAGTGCGTTCCAGGTGGACGCTCCGAATATTAGAACACTTTTTCGGGAACTTGTGGTGTGATGCAGTAGGACAAAGGATCTAGCTCGCTCGTTCCGACCTTTAGGTGTATACTGCGTGATGTACTCTGGGAGGCTTCCATGGTAGGCCCCGTACATGAAGCAGCAGATACGACGGTGGTAGTTTTCCGGCAGATCGCATCCGAGTATGGTGTGTCGCACTTCTCTGGTCGTGTCTCGCCCTCGGATACCATACACGAACCTCACCGACGACTTGAAGCATCGATGCAACTGAGCCTTGAGCGCGGTGGACAGTCCTGGGTAGTACACGACGTCGCAGTATGCGAAGAACGGCATCACAACAGCTTGGACGAGCTTCATACGAATCTGTCTGGAAAGCACTCCACGGAAGCGCCTGAACGTACGAAGAGTATTGTAGATCTTTTTGGTGACTTCGTTTATCTGGTCGGTCCATTTTAGGTTAGAGTCCATAATGAGACCAAGGTTGGTAACTTTGTTCAACAAAGTAATGGTTTCATCACAGAAGCGGATGTCATTTTGAGGGATTATGGCCCCATCTCTACAAAAGACTATAGCTTGCGTCTTCTTAGGGTTGGGAAACAGTCGATTCTCAGTGGCCCAACGTTCGATAGCGAGGAGATCCTGGTTGACTGCTTCGACGAGCCTGTTAATTTCGCTTGCGGGGCCTGATATGTAGATTTTGAGGTAGTCCGCATAGAGGTGATACTCGCATTTTAGCACACCAGGCAGGCTGTTGATGTATAGGCTAAACAGCAGGGCGTTCAGACAGGATCCTTGTGGCGTACCGTCGGTGAGATTCCGGGGATTCGAGGGAGTACCACCCAGGTCTACAACCTGGCTTCGCTGCGCTAGGAAAAATGAAATCAAATTACACGCGGAGTTTGAAAACCCGAATTCCCTCCTCAGCTTCGTTTCAAGTAGACCATGCCTGACACAGTTGAATGCCAACGAAAAGTCGACAAGAACCATTACTGTGCACCTGTTATCGTCAAAGTTGTTGAGGATATCGTGAGAAACCTTGACTAGAGCAGTCGTGGTACTGTGGTTTTTCCTGTATCCTGACTGGTGTTTGGCAAGAAGAGCGGGTGTGGATACATCGAGATGATCCGTTATTTGCGACAGTAGAATCTTCTACAGTACCTTAGACACCGCAGGTAGGACACTAATGGGCCTGAAGTCCTTCGGTGAAGCAGGGTTCGATGATTTCGATATCGGGGTAACGATGGCCTTTTTCCAGACGGAGGGGAAAGTTTGAGCATCGATAATCGCATTGAACAGATGAGTCAGGAGGGGGAGGATAAACGGGCAGAGCAGCTTGATGAATGAGATGGGGATTTCATCCATCCCCTTCGCGTTGGTCCCAATCTCGTAAATTTTCCTGGTGACTTCGTTGACGTTAGTGCGCCTGAACTGGAATTGGCCGTCGGCCACATTTGCGGGTGGTCGATCGGATTCTGCGTTCGCTTGCGAAGGTACAGCCCTATGCTGTAACATGTGATGGCCTTCAGCAAAGAACTGATTTAGTTGGTCAGCATCAAATTCATCCATGGCCGCATTCTTCTTTGCATTGTTATGTATGCCCTCTCTCCTCAGGTTGCACCACAGCTGCTTAGCAGGAAGATCCATGCCAAACTGCGAATCAGCATACCGTTTCTTAGCAGCACCAATTAGGGTGCCGGCCCTACTCTTTTTGGAGATGTAGTCTCGTCATTGAGCATCTCCTCTGACACGATTCGGATTTCGCACATAGAGAGAATATGCTAGGTCCCGTAAGGTGATTGCAGCTTGGATTTCGTTCGTTATCCATGGCGTGCGTTTGTTACGAACACTTATTATCCGCTCCGGAGCATGCTGGTTCAAAAGCGAATCAAGTTCGCTAGTGAGAAGTTGTGTTTTGATGTCGATGTCTTCTTCTTGGTAGATGTGCTGTAGGTCCTTTGCCTGGAAATCAACTTGCAGCCGTAGGGGATCTATCCTACCGAGATTCCGTACTTTCATACGACGAGGTGGAGCTTCAGATATGCGCACGTCAGCGATCAGATACACAGCTTCGTGATCGGAAATGGAGAGAAATTCAAGCCGTTGGTTCATAGGAATGGTTTGGTCGAAAGTTGATTTCAAAATCGGCACCGCCTTGATACCCTTCTTAACATAAATTCCTGCCCCTCCACACGTCTTGGTACTCCTACCACGTCCGGACGAAAGCGAATGATTAATAAAGTTGTAGGCGGGAATCCGAATAGGTCCAGCGGGTGAGGATTGTCTCAGTTTAGTCTCAGTTACGCAGAAGAAATGGTATTGGTCACGGTCGAGCATTAACTTGACACCATCAATATGTCTGCGAACGTTGAGATCAAGGTGACTACATATAGGTGTTCTAATGTGTCAAATTCATGATTCAGCCATGTTGGATTTTTGTATGGGACAGCGACCGAGTTTGTTTACAATTTGCTCTAAAACGGCATTACCCCCCCCCCCACCCCCCGCGACCTCCTCACCTATATAGTGACAAAGCTGTATCACCATTTATATACCCACCATGGTTGAGATGTCCTATACGAAGTTGTTTTGTGTAGGTAGTCATCTGGTGGAATTAAAGTCGTCGAAATGGTAGTGCAGTTAAGGTGTTAATCCAAGCGAAGAAACTAAGGACTGTGCGTCGAAGAACAACGATGAATTTTCACCTTCTGTTGTCGAGCCAGTGAGTTCCATGAGTTGATTGATATCGTTGATTAGCGTGTATTCGGATTGATCAATGAGACGAACGGAAACTGTGTCATTTCGAATAAACACAGAGCTGATGACTTTTTGTGTTTAAGTCTCAGAGCAAGGTTCCGTATTCGGAAAGTTGTGAGAGACAGGACTTCGTTCAGAGTGAACCGATAGTCTGGCGGAAGATAATCATCCAGCATACACAATTTTGCATCCCCAATTTTGCATTCCTGGCTTCGTTTCCGTCGAACACGATGACAATTGTGGGTGTGAGCGAACGATTCGACCATTTTGAAGATCTAACTGGTAGACGTAAATACCTGACAACATTCGCCATGATGTGAGGCACACCTAGGAAGTCGAAAATTCTCCTCACAATGGCTCCGAGGTTCTCATCGGGTAGGGAACTTTATTAACAGCGACTCTGTAACTGTTGACATTTTGCGAGGATACGACAGCAAGCTCGGCTCCCGATTCAATCGCTTCGATCTTCTGTTCGATGGTTTCGAGAAACTTGATTTGTGCAGACTGCTGGTCGTATGTTCTGTCGACCTCGAGCACACGATTCTGAAGACGTTCAACTTGCTTCTTACACCAGGACCGTAAAACTTCCACCTCCTCACGCAGCTTGAGCATTTCTGCCGACAGTTCTTCGATTAGCTTCACCAGACGTTCGTGAGCGTCATTGTCCGGTGCTGGTGTCGAATCCTGTTGATGCTGTTGTTGCTTAGGGATTAGGTTTCCTCGCATGCTGCAAGTCTCACAGATGATTTTGAGTTCAGGTGAAACTAGATCGCTGATTAGGACGCAAGTTGTGTGAAACCATTTCAGGCAACTGTCACAGCTTATCCAACTGATGTTATCCGTTTTCTTGCTTCCTTGCTTCGCCTTTCCTTTTCTCTTCTTGCTCGTGGGTGGATTTTCACGGCCACAGCTACCACAGATATCTTCATCACTCATGATGATATTAGCACTACCAAACGACAACTTCAACGGAGTTCACATATTAGTGCTGCATTGGAGCAGCAAGTCACAGCAAGTGACAGAGGAAACAGTCACTAGGAAGTCACAGATGAGCTGGGAGCCCCGGCGGAGGCATGATTCAACCAGCAGCAGTCAGTTAGGGGCCCCGGCGGTGGTCGCAATTCCCTAACTACGAAACAGTAAGATGCCCCGACGATGGTAGCTTTGCTTCGCGCACTTCTGGATGAGTTTGCGTTTTCATGAATTTTCGTTTAGCAGCTGGGTGCCCCGACGGTGGCACAACCAGCCCGAACAGTTGGGAGCCCCGACGGTGGCACAACCAGCCCGAACAGTTGGGAGCCCCGACGGTGGCTGCAGATTCCCAACGTCGTACAGCAAAATGCCC